CCCCAAAACCCCAAAACCCCAAAACCCCAAAACCCCTTCTAAAGCAGAGATTATTGAAGTCTGGTCTAGGTCAGAGATTAAGTAAACCGGTTAGCATAGTCTCTATCTAAACTTCTGAACATATCATTTTGTTTCACCTTCCTTCTGTTGAATTCTTTCCGAACAGAAGTTTCAAAGTTGTCCAATGTTGTCTTAACGTGGCTCCTAGAGATTGTGTAAATTCGATCATATTTTATCGATTGTAGGCAAATTCAAAGGAAATGTTTAACTTACTGGTATTGCTTAGTAGGACTGCTCTCGTACTTTCCTCCAAGGGCTTGATCACACCTTGACAAGATATCATGAACTAAATAATATCTGCCAATTTTGTCATTTGCCAGAGTTTCTACAACTTCGTTATTAATGCTCTGCCTCTCAGTCTGCAACTGATGGGCACTTTCAAAGTTAGTCATGAGTCTCTGTAACTTATTGGTTTTCATTGCTCTAATGTATCAAAGTCATCAATTACCGTTCATTGCCGATTTTGTGGTTCTTTATCATCTGGATAATATTTTTATCTCTTTTTGCCTTGATTAGGTTCTTCTGGGTACATTTCTCACATCGATATGTACCTTCACAGTCATGACTATGTGAAGTAGCACTGTAATTTGTCTTTCTCATCTATAATTTTGTCAATTTTACATCAATTTCAGCGGTTACATTTATGATAGAGTTTCTGCTGGAACTTCTGCCAAAACTTTGATAACCATCAAAATCAAGGTCATCATCAGTTTCATCTTTGGTTAAGAAGATAGACTTCCGAACTGAAGGTATTGAATCCTTCTTATTCCTGTCTCCTCTAAATTATTATGATTAGATTTTACGTGAGTTTAACTTTCTGTACATCAGATTTCCTTAAAGACCTAGACCTGTTTCCAAAATATCCGCTGGCTGGGAAATTTCTCTTCTCGACAATCTTTTTCTTGACCTCATTGATTTTATCCTTTACTTGGATATCACTAAGTTCTTGTCCGTTAAGGACAACCTTGAATTTTTCCTTAGAATCTTTTTTATCCTTAATATTCATGTATTTACTCTCGATCTGTCCATATTTCTTAGGAAGCTCTTTGTACCGTTTCACTTTTTCCTTAAGGATCTTGTATTCATCAAGGATTGACTCGAATATCTTATTTGTTTTGCTTATTTTCAATATCTACCCAGCCGCCTTCAATTTTGTGGCGTATCCTATCCCTATTCTTCGCCACAGTGGTGATGGCGCCTATCTTATCAACCAAATGTTTGTGGTTTTGCTTAAAGGTCTTGAGTTCAGAAAGCATCTTTATGCGAGAGTTGACCTTCTGTCTATGCTTACGCCTCCTGAGATATTTCTCCCTCTGGAACTTATCAAGCACATGCATGATGGAATTCTCTTTATTAGCCTGTTTTTCCTCTTGCTCAACAATTTTAGTCGCAATTTTAGAGACTTCTTTGTTAATAAGAGCGTCATAGAAGTTATTCTGAAATTTCTTGCTGTGAAATACACTGTATGCGCTATCCTCACTCTTTGTTTTACCGATAATCTCCTTAAGCTTATTTTGGACTTCTTTTCTAAAGAAAATATTAGATTGAAAAGACAGAAGATTCTCGAGGTCAAGATATTACTTCTTCTTATCCTTTTTCTCTTCTTCCTCTATGGCTATCTTTTCAGCATCCTCTTCTATGGTGTGAAGCTTCTATATGGTCACGAAAAGGATGTACAAAGACGTCAGGATTTTCCTTAATCACATCAAGAGTTTTGGATAAAGCTGTCCTATTTTGTAACGCAAGTTAGTTATACTTTTGGTTGACAAGCTCTGCCTCTTTCTTATTTATTTTCTTCGATTTTATGTTTTTCAAATATTTCCTTAATCATCTCCTCTCCTTCTTCGATGTGCTTCTTGTAGAGTTGATAGAAGTCCACAGAGAAGGAATTCGCCAGCAAGCATGGAGACATAGAAATAGCAGCTCCTTTAGGAGCAAACCTTGGCATTTCTTTATCGATTATGGAATATATTTTCGACGGAAGGTCGGTGAATCCCCTTGTGGTAGATGAAGAGTCACACCTTGACTCTATCAGCCGTATTTGGTTCCGACTTGCAGTTTTGATTTTCACGCTGAATGCATCGTCTATTATATTGATTTACGATCACCTCAAACACCTTATGAAACAGAAAATCTAAGGAAAACTTACGCTTAAGTAATTTTTCATGGATTCGGCTGATCATCCTCCTCTTTTTAGGCCTCTTAATCTCAACATTTTTGATTATTCTGGGTTTTATAATGGGGAAAAGCTCGAATCTTTTCCTCTTCGGTGATTGAGTTGCCATTGATACCTTCTGGGATAAAATTTATTTAACTACCTAATTATTCAATATAAAGAGAGAAGATAGGGGTTTTGGGGTTTTGGGGTTTTGGGGTTTTGGGG